GGTGTTCACATAACTGCGATTGTTAAGCATAGAATATTTTTGGTTTTGTTTATTTATAAAACATTATATTCTATAAAAAGCTCTACTTGCTCCATGCATTGCCTTTTAGAGGGCTTTATTAGGCTGAATGTTGACTTTAGCACTCTTACCCATTAAGACACACAGATTATCAATGCTCAACTGCCCCAAATCAAACACAAAATGAAATAAGAGAAGAGGCTGGTTGTCATTGCTATTTAGGAAGTGAGTACAGGAGGGAGGGGAAAAATGAGGACCTAATGTCGGGGGTTTAAATGGAGAGAAAATGTTTTGAGAAACGATGTACAAATGCGCTTTACACAATTGATGTGTGTATGGATTGGGATAACAGTTGTATGAGCCCCTAATAAAATGGTAAAAAAAAAAAAGTGAGTACAGTCAGAAAAGGAAGATTTGTTTAGTTCACTGGGAAACTGTTTTGCTACATCAATAATAAGAATGAGTCAAATAAACCAGGAAGCAGATGTGCTTCTTCAGCAAGTACTATAGACAAAATTGAATGAAACTGATGGATTGCCACTTGTTTTCGAGAACCACCAATTCACAATCCTGATGAATCAGCTAAATACTGGCAAAGAAAAAATATCTATTACTGTTTTTGTTTTGTTCAGATTTGCAGTGGTGATTTATACGCTAAAAGGCCAAAGTTCTCCTTTCCACTCCTGATCCAATGCATAAATCCAGATTTAGTTAAACACATAAATTGCCAAATTCATTGGAAAAAAAAAAGCAGGGTTACAAAAAACATCAAGAGAATGGAGAATAAACCAATTAACACAACAATTACCTTTCTAAAGCCACAATAAACCAGAAAGGCTGACAAATTTAAAGATATTCCCTCAAGCTAATTTATTAAATTGTGATACTTTTAGCACCCTCTAGACAAACAGAATAATTAAATCTGCTGTAATAACCTTCCCCCATAATTATCTTTTTCATTCTAGAATTTTTATCTCTCATATAGAAAACTAAACCCATTGCCATTTAAACAATTCCAACTGACAGCTGCTCTGTATAAGGTTTCTGAAGCTGTAAGTCTTTGTTAGCAGATAGCTTCATCTTTCTTCTGAGGAGCCACTACAGGGTTTGAACCATCAACCTGTGGTTAGTAATCCAGCACTTACTCTACAGTGCCATTGGGGATCCTTTTTATACAGAAGTATTTTGAAAACTATAAAAATAGATAATAGTTAAGCAATGTCTTCGAATGAAGAATGAAGAATGTGCGTGATACGAATAAGTTGAAACATTATCCTGTGTGTAATAATTTAGACACAAAAGGAAAACATATTAAAAGAAGTAATTCAGTCAAAGGTCGTCATCCCATGAATGCTAAAACCATTAAGAAAAAATTGTGATGAGGGAGCATTTTCATACAATTCTAAAATATCACTTACTAGACTACTCATTAAATAACAAAGTGAGGAAAATGTGCATTTGCAATCCAGTGACCTGGTGGTGGTGGTCTGCACTTTAAACAACTTGCTCTCAGTTAAAGGAAAATGTGTATTTAGAAGGTGGAAAAATGAATTTGCAGTGAAATGTTATAACATGTGGATCTAAGTCCATAATGCCAAAAGATCTGGGACATTTTCCATAATAAAAAGGGTTGGAGAGGAGAGTAGAAACAGCTGAACTGGGCCCAGTGGTGCCCCAATGTTTTAAAAAGAAAAGAAGGAAAAAAGATTGTATTTTACAATGAAAGTATGCACTAGAGTTAAAGAGTGATTATGATTCCCCCCCCCTCCATTATTAGCCATGTACTTTCTGAAGGAGCCTGGAAAATAAATGCATGTATTCAGAAGAGTACCTGTATTAATTTTTCCCTTTTGACATAACCATTCTCCTTTAGTAATTAGAATATCATTTCTATAAGTTCAGAAGAGTAAGATTTATAATTCCCTCAAAAAAGAAGCTGTAAGAAAAAGTGCCTCCCATAAACACACACATTAAGTTGTCCATCTTTCCTTCAAGGAAAATAAAAGCCAGACATCAAGATGACAAGCTTACTTATGCTTATGTTTGTACAGAGTTCCCAGAACAAAATCATTTTTGTGTGTGCCTTCAGTTTTCTTTTTCTGATTCTAAGTTTCCATATCTTAAATCTTTAACCACACCTTTATCGTTTTAAGATATAAATCCTTATGTAAGAAAGCATGACTGGATGTGAGCAACAGCAGAGCATCTAAATGGCAAAATTGATTTGGATATGTGCTATATGTTGGACGGCACACTATGAAAACCTAACTCATAAGGAATGGGGAACTTTTCTTGTTTCCTTATCTTGAACTCCCTTCTGTTGTCTATTTTCTGGGGTTTACAAAAATACCAGACCTTAATGCAATACCTGAAAATATCCAAGTAAAACTTACTGTAGCTATAAACCCACTACCAACTGAATAGATTTCGACTCATTGCAATTTAATATAGGATTTCTGAAGCTGTAAATCTTCTCGGTGCAGTCTCATTTTTCTCCCTCAGAGCAGCTAGCAGGCTTGAACCACCAACCTTGCAGTCATCGGCCTAATCAATGTGACAGTGCCACTAGGGCTCCAAGACAAGCTTATTTCAAAAGTTATATGAAAAGGCAAAGGAACTAAAATAGCTTAAAGAATAAATCTTATATCCTTTAAGAACCAATAAAGTTGGAGAGCAAATGTTTTGAGAAAGATGAGGGCAATGAATATACAAATGTGCTTTACATAATTGATGTATGTATGGATTGTGATAAGAGTCATATGAGCCCCTAAGAAAACGATTAAAAATAAAATAAAATAAAATGTAAAAAAAAAAAAAAAGAACCAATAAAGAGGGGAAATCTGGTGGCATAGTGGATTGTGTGTTGGACTGATAACTGAAAGATCAGCAGTTCAAAGCCACCAGCTGCTCCCAGGGAGAAAGATGAGGCTTTCTACTACAAAGAACCAATAAAGAAATATAGTGAGATGTACATAAAATATAACCCAATTCAAAAAAAAAAATTATGTATGAATGATTAACAAAGCACTCGTGAAAATATACACAACACATCATAGAATAATTCTCCATGGACCATCCCATGACATCTTACTGAATTACTAAAAAGGAATCCGTAAGATTAACACCATTCCTTTCCCCACCCACTAACCCCCACACTGTACTGATAATCAGAGAAAGGTATTTACACACACACACACACACACACACACACACACGCATTTTTAAAAGCCCCTATAGAGTATCCAAAAAGAACTATATTTTTATTATGCCTGCTTATAAAGTTCCGTCACTTATCTTTTCATCTAGTATATTACACAAGACTTATTTTCTGTCAAACCACACAGTAGTCAAATAATCTTAAATTCTACAGAAATATAAGATGTTACACTATTCATTCCCTCCTGAAATTATCCTAAACTCAAATATATTTTTTGTCTACTCATCCAGCCTTTACTAACAGGTCAGTTATTAGTGTGTTAGTTGAGGGATTGGTAGGGAATGGGGGGAGGGGGAGATGTAGGGGTGGGGGTAGTACTTACACATTTCAGTTTTCCCAGGACATTAATTACCATTTTATTCCTGTTTTTTCTACATGTGCTTTTTTTTTACTGTGCAAGAGGGCAAATATCAATGTCCTCTTTTAAGAATGCAGGATTACAGGTTATATAAAACAACATGCATAAATTTTTGAATCTCATATATAGATAGATATAGAAAGAAATCTGGAAGACTACCGATTAGAATTTAACAATGATTATTTCTGAGTGGTGTAACAACAGATAACTTTTTTCGCCTTTCTATTTTTTAGTATCTTCTTAAGCCAGCTTTTAAAATTACTTTTTTTAAAAATCATTTTATTAGGGGCTCATACAACTCATAAAATTACTTTTTAAAACAAGCATACAGTTCTTTTCATGTCTGAGACAGAGTTATTTCATTTGCTAAATGCAACCTTTCCTTTCTGACACAACTCCTCTCGTTTTATTTTTTCAACTCTCATTTTAAAAGAATGCACTACTCTTCTCTAATATGTTATTTTCATCAAGAACCTAAGAAATGGTTAGTACTAAAACAAAACTCGGCTTTTGGAGAAGAATGCAGCTTATTAAAAAAGATTATTCCTCTTATAATTTTTTCTTTTTAATTATGGTGAAAATATACAGAAAACATATGGTACAGTTATCCAGCAATTTCTAAATGTGCAATTCCATGACATTGATTCCATTTTGCAACTATTTTTGTTATTGTTTACCAAATTAATCTACCACCATTAGCACACAATCAATGCACCCTATTCAAAAGTTACCTCTTACCCCCTCTCTTCCATTTTTAAAAAACACTAATAGTTTTTGGTTTCCATATGTTTGATTATTTCATTTAAGTGAAAATATATGGTATTGGTCCTTCTGTGGCTGATTTACTTCACTCAGCACCATGTTTTCTAGATTCATCCCAACACTAGCTTTTAAGAAACAGAAAACCTGGATTAAAGAACCACCTTTGCTGTTAAGAACCTACCTAAATATCTTCCAGGAATGTTAAGATCAAATGAGAATATATGTGAATGTACTTTAATTCAATGGACAAAGGAGTTACTGTTACTATAAATCCATGAATAAACTGTGTAATCTCAAATATAAGGTATAAAATGGGGATGCCTTAGTAAATGATCCCCAATTCACTTCTATGTCTGAAATTCTAGTATTAACCAAATAACCAAGTTCTCTGCCATCGAGTCAATTTCAACTCCTAGGAAGCCTACAGGACAGAGTAGAATTACTCCTTAAGATTTCAAGCCTGAAAAAAACCCCCAAAAAACAAAGATTCAAGACTGTAAATCTGTATGAGGGCAGATAGCCTCTTCTTTCTCCCTTGGAGCAAGTGATGGGGGTGTGACCTGAGACTGGAAGCCCAGTACTTAGTCCATAGTGCCACTAGGGGTCCTCTTAACTCAATCATCTAATCTACCTCATCTTGAGTACCTTTTTTATGGTTCCCTGGTCTTCATGTTTCCTTTCTTCACAGGGACAGCCAGTTCTCCACATTCTTCTCTTAGGGCCCTGATTGTCTGAAAGTTAAAAAAAATATGTCTTTTCTCTCTAAACACATTTTAAATCTTCTTTTTATTTTATATTTAATGCTTTCAGTATGCCATAATACTAAGAGTAGTGGCTATATCATGAACATGGACTCTGAAGTCAGGAAGTTTCTCCATATCACTGGGGTAAACCAGTCTTCATCAATAGACATTTATCTTTATACTTTCTTCAAACCCTCTCATTCAAAATTTCCTGAAAGTTCTTCCTTAGGTCACTAGTTTCCCCAAGATGTTATGAGGTAGAAAAACTGCCCCAAGAACTTGCATTCTTTCCTTAAAAGAATACCACCACAAAACTGTGTCAAGTTATCCTAGCATCAGTGCTGGGATATAGTAGCCTAAACATATAACTTGTATCAAATAAATGAAGAAAGCATAATAGAATTTCACTATTTTATAATACCTGCTGAATTAAACGCCCAATCCAATAATTAATAGCTGCTAACATCATAATAAGAGATAAGACCATACACACCAAATTGGAACCAAACCACTCCTAAGACAAACCACTCTTACCAAAAAAGAAAAAATCAAAACTGAATCTAAATAATTTACCAATGTACAGACAACTCAGGATATGAACATATTAAAAGTCATTGCAGAGATGCAGTCAGAAAAATTAGACTGGGAAGCTTTTCAAAGAAATCATTTTAACAAAAATTATAGGGGGCAAGGGATGAAGGAAACACCTACAGATCAAAAGTTATTACATTAACATGCCAAGCAATTATAACATATGGCCCTTGTTTGAGTCCCAATTCAAGAAAACACGTTATTTATATACAACATATGATAATCATGGAAATATGACCTGACTACATTAAATATTAAATGTTTAGTAAAATTATTATTTAAATGTAGTCATTATATTATGTTTATGTTACTAGGAAGAGAGTCTAAATTTTAGAAACTCTGAAATTTACTAATTAAATTTGGTAATTCACTCAAAACAATCTATGGAATGGGGAAGGGTAGATAAATACATGGCTAAAACAAGATTGTTATGAGTTGATAATTCTTGAAACTCAGTGGCGGCTAAATGGGAATTGTTTATATTTATTCTCCTTAATTTTATTAATGTATGTTTAAAGTATTCTATAATAAAAGAAAAAAAACACTGTTTAGGAACTGGGTTACCAGTTTACGACTGCAGTTGTCTCTCACAGTCCCATAACAGATTAATCCACAGCCTGCCATAAATGAATATAAATTGATCATATTAATAGAATACTATAAGAAATAATTTGAAAAAAAAAAAAAGAAAGAATTTGAGTTGACAGAGAAACACAAAGAAGCAAGAAATGTTTTCTAATTCATTCTAAGAAGCCAATATAACCCTCATATCAAAGCCAGGCAAAACCCAAAACGTAAACTCACTGTGTATTGAGTAGATGCCAACTCATAGCAACCTGTAGGACTGAGTAGAACTAACCCTGTGAGTATCCGACATTGTAACTCTTTACAAAAGGAGATAGTCTCCTCTTTCTCCTATGGAGTGTCTAGTGGTTTTGAACTGATGACCTTGTGATTAGCAGCCTAACTTGTAACCACTAGGTCACCATGGCGCCTAAAGCCAAGTAAACCAAAACCAAAGTCACTGCCATCAAGTCAATGCTGACTCACAGTGGTCCCCTATGGGTTTCCAAGACTAACTGTTTATGGGAGTAGAAAGCCCAGTCTTTCTCTGGCAGTCTGCAGGTGGTTTAGAACTGTTAAACATGTGGATCACAGCCCAACTCCTAAACACTACACTACCAGGGCTCCTAAAGACACCAATAAAAAAGAAAATTGCAATCCAACATCCCTCATGAAAATAAATACAAAAATTCTCAACAAAATTCTAGCCAACAGAATTCAAGAGCATATTTTTTAAAAGTATGATTAAGTAGGACTCTTATCAGGGACACAAAAATGGTTCAATATTAGAAAGTCTACCAAAATACATAATTCATCACATAGATAAAAAGAATCACATGATCATTTCAACCAATGCAGAAAGGGCATTTGATAAAATCCAACATGCTTTCCTGATAAAAAGTCTCTGCAAAATTGAAATATAAGGGAAATTCCTCAATATAATTAAGGGCATATATGTGCAAATAACAGCCAATATTACACTCAGCATCTCCCTTAAGAATGGGAATGAGACAAGGACGCCTGTTATCACCCCCACTTTTATTTAATATTGTACTAGAAGTCTTAGAACTGTGGAAAGAATGATGTAAAACTACCTATTTGCATGATCAAAAAAAATTGCAGAGACTGCAAATAAAAGTTGCTAGTTAAGAGAAGAATTCAGCAAAGTGGCAAAGTATAAGATCAACACTTTTCCCACCAACCTAAATTAGTTTACCTGCCATAAAATCTTATACTTAAATAATACTTTATACTAATAGAGTATAATACTTTATACTAATATTTATATATATATATATATATATATTAGAAAGGAGAACTCTGAAAATGAAATCAAGAAATCAGTACCGTTTACAATTACCCCTAAATAGAATACCTAGGAATAAAACCAACTAGGGGGTAAAAGATGAACCCAGGGAAAACTAAAAAGCCCCACAGCAAGAAACTTAAGGGTCTTCATCAATGGAAATCACTGTAGAATATTGTGAAACTATCAATAGAACCTATAGCCATCTATAGCTATAAACGGAATCTCAAGCACAACATTGTTTAATAAAATACAAAAACTACATTCTAACTTTATTTGAAAAAGAAAGCCGCTCTGAATAACTAAAACAATCCTAACACTAAGTTTGCAGACATTTCTTATATACCCGTCTCTACCGACACATGACAAAATGACACATAAACAAAACACATTTTCTTTAAAAAGCAACTTATTTTATTTGAAAACAATATAATTACACACTATTAACATAAATGAAACTATGTAATACTTTATATTTATATAAAATTTACAACACTTAATATTATGCATTTGAGAAATTGGGTTCGAGAATGTGAGGGTCATTCAGGTCAACATAATAATTTTTGCTGCATTGTTTGTCTTTACATTTGATGTTTACTTTCTAAGAATCTTAATTGACCACATTTACATTATGACTAGAGTAATGCTTTCATGAATGACACCTATTTACAGGGATTAATATTCAAACTGTCGCATATCCGTAGAGACAGGTACACCACACAAAGAATTTTGGTATTAGAAGGCTTAGAAGAAAATGAATTTGGATATATACTTGTCTCATTAAATGAATAAAAAATAGCATAAATGGTAGGAGGTAAATGTAAATAGTTTCTGTAATTTTTGTTGAGAAAATCAAAATGCATCAAAATCATAACGTCTTATAAACTCGGTGTTAAGAAAAACAAAGTAGGAGGCCTCACACTTATGTCAAAACTTACAGCCATGATAAACCTGCCAACCACACTGTGAGACAAAGATGTGGCAGTCTGCTTCCATTGTGTGCTCCAAAGATGATAATTATAAAATTCAAATATGGCATAGAGAAAGGTATCAGAACTAAAGTTATGAACACCCAATTTGTAGAAGGCTATAAGGGACAGTGTGAACTCAAAACCCATCTGCAGAGTATCTAGTCAGACTGAGCCCCTGGCAAATCTGTTCTAGCCAAAGGCAAGAGTCTCACAGGAGCCTTACTATCGGGCAGAGACTATTGTAATGTTGATTATGCTGGATCGAACTCGATACTTGGGCAGTTGACCACCATATGAAACTTGTACTGAGGGCAAGTATCTCTTACGTATTTCATGACAGAAATTTCCTCCCTTTTTGAATGTTGATGGGGTCTTTTCCTTCTTACACATTATTTGTACTTTTGTCTTTATATTATTATGATTTTAACCTTATCACCTTAGTGTGATTTTGTTTATTATTTCCTGTTGGGTTTTCCAGTTGTGAAGCACAGGAGGAGTGGATACATAATGAGAATAACTGATACAAGGGGTTACAGGGAATGCAAGGGTGGGGAGTGGGATTTGGGCAATAGGGAGAGAAAGGGGATTTGGGGAGTAAATAATGAAGGCAGTAGGGGGGAACACTAGAACTGATTGTGATTGCACAACTGATTTTACAGAAGGTAATTTATAGATAACTAGGGCCTTCTAAGAATTAAATACTTCTGTTGACCAAACAACTTTAGCAAAACAGAGCCTACAGACTGGGAAAAAATTTTGGCAACAACCTATCCAAGGGTACACAGAAAATTGCAACAACAAAAGAGACAAACAGCCCAATCAAAAAATGGACAAAGGACATAAACAGATATTTCATCAAAGCTGAAATTCTGGTGACCAATAAATACACAAAAAGATGCTCATAATCATTAGCTACTTGTTAGGTGATGCCTAGTCAGCTCACACATAGCAAACCAATGCACAACAGAAGGAAACACTGCCCATCTTCACAATCATTCTTATGTCTCAGCCCACTGTTCCAGCGACTGTTTCAATTTATTTTGTTGAGGGTTTTACTCATTTTTAGTGACCCTCTACTTAACAAAGCCTGGTGTCCTTTTCCAGGGATCCAAAGTATGTGAGACAAAGTCTCACCATCCTGACTTCTAAGGAGCATGCTGGCTGCACTTCTTCCAATACTCTTCACCAATGCTATAATTCAAATGAATCGATTCTTCTGCGTTCTTCCCTATTCATCCACCTTTTACATGTACATGAGACGAATGAAAACACTCGGCCTCAGATTAGGCACAGTTTAGTCCAAAACTACACTGTCTGGTTGCTGTAAAAATGGTAATGATGGGAGGTAGGAGTGGGGACAGTGGCAGTGTTTATTCTTTAGGCTATGATCCCCAAGGTCAGTAGCTGAAAACTACTAGCTGTTCCTTGTGAGAAAGACCGGACTTTCTGTTCCCGTTAACAGTTAATCTCAGAAACTCACAGGGGCAGTTCTACCCTGTCCTATGAGTTGGCATCGAACCAATGACAAGGGAGTTATTATGGAACTATAGTATATC